ATATACTACCTGATGGACAGTGTACCCGGGGGGTAGCTTATCCGGGGGTTATTATGAGAATAACCTAGAGAAAAGTCAGAGCAAACAAGTAGGAGAGAGAGGCGATTATATTAATGAACTCGAGATGTTCTGGCCCTTTACAAGAGGAATAAGAGCTTCTATTTATAGTAGCAATAAATGCGATAAGATTACACGTGGCGATAATCTAACGGCCGAGGGGTCACCTCAATCGGGGTGGCACTGGCACTCGCATGTGCACCGCATTAAATGCGGTGGGTGGATGTGACGTCGCATTAAATGCGGTGGTTGGTTGTCTCCAAAGGGAATCTTCGATGATTGAGTCTGTTAGCCGAGGGCTCTTTACTCAGCCGAGGGCTTCGTGTGGCCGAAGGCATTGTGTAGCCGAAGGCCTGGTTCAGCCGAAGGCTTCCCTGGTGCCGAGTGCTCGGTAGTGCTGAAGGCTCCTGTTTTCTGTCATTTTCTCCCAGTAGCTTCGTATGCTCAAATATGGCTGTTTTGTGAGTTTTGGAGCCCTCGACCATATTGTCGAAGGCTACCCCAGGCGTTCCGTGGACCACTTTTGAGCTTGCCCGCTGTGTCTTGGGCCTCCTGCGCTTCTTGGGCTTGTTGGGCCTGTGATAGAGTAGTAGGAGTCTGTGGACCGGGGGTCCCTGGGCCATATACTCCATCACTACCTATGTCCTGACTTAAGGTTATCATCACAAAGTGACATCGTTATGTAGATAATGATTAAATAAGGTAATTCAATTATATTTTAAGAAATAGTTTTGATGTAAAAATATGATACAATATGATATAATATGATATAATATGATATAATATAATATAATATAATATAATATAATATAATATAATATAATATAATATAATATAATATAATATAATATAAAATAATATAATATAATATAATATAATATAATATAATATAATATAATATAATATAATATAATATAATATAATATAATATAATATAATATAATATAATATAATATAATATAATATAATATAATATAATATAATATAATATAATATAATATAATATAATATAATATAATATAATATAATATAATATAATATAATATAATATAATATAATATAATATAATATAATATAATATAATATAATATAATATAATATAATATAATATAATATAATATAATATAATATAATATAATATAATATAATATAATATAATATAATATAATATAATATAATATAATATAATATAATATAATATAATATAATGTAATATAATATAATATAGTGAGTCTTTGATGATAATTGTGATGTTATAAGAGAGATTTCTCAAATAGGACTAAACAGGGTTTGTAATTCCAAAATAGGACAACTATATTTTTCTTTCTGAAATAGGATTAAGATGACAATATTTAATGTCATCTTTTGGTCATGAAAGTATTTGGCAGTATTATACCGCTAAATAGCAGTATTTATTATAATTAATGACAATGTTTTTCAAGCATGACAATGATAAATCCTATATCGGGAAGAAAAACATAGTAGTCCTATTTTGGAATTCTCAAAGCCGTTTACTCCCATTTACAGCAATTTCCCATATTATAAATGTATTATTTTTAATATTTGATTATTAAATGAGAACTTAAACGTGCTAATTATTTCTCAAAAATGAATGTGAACCTTTATTTGGGACATAAAAAGGTGAGAATGTTAGGATGAGACGAAGAAAGTAGGATATTATTGTTCACATAATAGTTGTAAGTGATGTAAAATAATGAATTAATGAAATTAGCTATCTATTTATAAATGGTTAGAAGTTGAATAGTTAGGGTTTGTATATGTGAAGTTGGGGGAGTTGAAAAGATTTATTCTACCCTTTCAAATGCATATAAATGTTTAAGTATGCACATTGCTTGCCATGTACGTGTGCCTATTATGTGGTGATGTGAAATTTGTATAAATAAATGCTATATATGAATTTGTACTATTTATTATAATGTTGACACATGTCAAATTTTCCAATAAAGAGTGTTGCCACATGTCAAAAATTTATTCAAATACCTCTCTAAGGGTTTACTTTATTATATTACTAGTATATGAACCCGTGCATCACACGATAAAAGATGTTCTAGTATTTGTTAATAATGAAACAATATGAATGAACATATATTATATAATAGAAGGGATACTAAATTGCATGTGAACTCGTAAGTGTGCAACTCAATGAGTTATATTGAGTCGCTAAGAAAAAAATTACAAACACTAAAGATTCATCATCATTACTCCAATGTTGCAAAGGCTCTCACCTTCAATGGGGTAAGGGGTGTCGAATGTATAAGTTCTGTCCCTGTACTAAGACACATAGACACTCTTTTCGGAAGAAATAATATATGTGATAAATCAAAATATGTGATATTTTAGATCTTTGAGTAATAGTTTTTAATTATTTGGGTCATATATCGATACAACTTATGTTTCAGGTCCCTTATTGATGATGAACCTATTTTTAGACCTTGGTTTGATATTTTTTTAGAAGCCAAAAGTAGTCCATATATTCTGTATTACCTTCATCCATTTGACATTGTCAAATTTGAATTAGGTGAGTAAAAAATGTGAGTAATAAGAAAAGTAAAATTATTGGTTGAAATTTGAGCAGAAATGGAAAAAATAAGGAGGATCATAAATCAGTTACTTCGTAGTTCAATGAGAAAGTGCGGAAGTTTTTGTAATCATAAAACTGAAAGTTGGAAAAAATCATTTATAACTCTGAGTATTTATATTTCCTCCATATTCTTTGGTTTAATACATTTTTCTTTTTAGGATTTATTTTAATTTTTCTACACTTACTCTTTTTTTGTAGGTTTTTCTTCGAAATTAAAATACTCAATTACTCTTACTTTTTCTACTCATTATATTTCTTTTCATAATTTTCCATCATCTCTCATACTTTGATAATTTTTAGTCTAAAAAGCCAAAAGTTTGTTTTGTGTTACCCCGTCTCATTGGACATTGTGAACTTTGAATTAGGTGAGTAAAAAATAAAAATTAAAATAAAAGGTAAATAATAAGAAAAGTAAAATTGAGGGGTTCGAGTTTGGGCAGAGGAGAAAGAAATAGTAGAACCACAAATTAGTTACTCTGTCCTTCTAATTTTTATTTTCTCTTTCATACTTTTCAGCTCCTCTCTTACTTTTTGTACATTAATCATTACCCTATTATTTTTTCTTTAATATTGTGACATTGTCATAATTTGCCATATAGACATATTGTTGTATGTATAAACTATATAGAGTGTTTTATTTAAAACAACACACGGGGGAAACCACAATTATAGTACTTCGTAGGATACATTTACATTTAACACCTTTTCATCCACATAAGTATTTATTAAAAGGGAACATTTAATTTGTACACTCTAAAATCCATTTTAAATATTAATTATAGTCATGTGTTGATGCATTATAATCGTTCTCATTTGAAATTATTTCAAACCCTTTCACAATGTAAAATTTGGACTCGTCCAAAAGCCTCTCAAACTTATAATTCAACATCTTCTTGATTCCCTAGAATAAGCATTAGAGTGAATCATAACTTGTTAAGAATACTTGTTATGAAACAAATACTTGTTAAGAATAATAATTAATGATTAGTTAATTCATCAATAAAGTGAATTGGTACGTTTAGTAAACTGGAATTGGAATAGTTTTACCAGTTGATGAAGAATTTTAACTAAAGCATTTGGATAATTTTTTTGTCTTTACTTTGATAATTAATGTGTCTATTTCAGGTGTTATAATATATAAGTAGGCGGACAAAATAACCATTGCAGCAAAAGTAATAATAAGTGGGATAAATGCATAACCAAACATTCCAGCTCAACTGATTGTGAGGTTACCGTGCCTAGTGGGAGGTATCGAGTTCGAAACCCGCTAGGCACATAAGGGTTTGAAACTCAATAGAGTGAGTTTCAACCCTGATTACTCCAGACTTCCCTCGACTTCTAATTTTTCCATTTTTAGTCCTTGACTATTTTACTAGAGACACTTTTAGTCTCCGGCTTCAAGGTTTCCCACATTTAGTCTATGAGTATTGTCAAATTGACACCTTTTGTCCTCCCATTATGATTTTGACACAATAACTGGAGGACTAAAAAAGTCACTATTATAATAGTTGAAGGACAAAAAATGTCGCTTTTATTAAAGTTGAAGGACTAAATATGGAAATTTTCAAAGACGGGTACCAAAAATGTCTCTAGCGCAATAGTCAAGGACTAAAAATGAAAAAAAATCAAAGTCGAGTATCAAAAATGTAAATGACATAATAGTCGGAGGACTGAAAGTGGAAAAACTCTGTGATAATATGACATAAGTGATCGATGTATTATCAGGAGACATTGTTTGCTTATGAGGTTATCCTTTACGTTGTATACTTCTTCCCTCCCTTTTTATTTAGCCAAATTTGACTTTTCAAGTCAATGATGTTATTATGTTAAACTATAACCAATTGTATATATTTACACACGATACTATTGATAATATAAAAATGATATATGAATGTGATAAAAGTATAAATTTATTAATTTCACATAAATGAAAGTGTAGGAAACTTACCAAAAATGGAAGTATAGTTGAGTATTTTATAAAATGATAAACTTACCAAAAATGAAAAATTAGGAAACTTTAAATACATCCCAAAAAGAAAAGTGTAGGGACCTTTAAAGGAGTAGTGTGTTCTACTCCCTCCGTATCACATATATCTTCCCACTTCCAAAGTGGGTGCGATTAAAAATAGTGAAAGAGGATATAAGTTATTGAGGGTATGATGGGAAAATAGTGAAATAATGTGATTGAATGAAGAATAAATTCAAAAAAAGTAGGTGTAATAGTATATTATTTTTTAAATTATTGAGGATATGATGAGAATATTTAGAAATGAGAAGATATAATGTTACATCCAAAATGAGAAATAGTTTTTTTTCTTTCCTTGAGCCAAAAACAATGAGTCATTTAAACAAGGAGGTTCAAGCAGGAATGTACAATTTCCAAGGTTTACACTGGAGCTGTACGAGGGTTTAAGGTCGATGGGGTTGACCTGGAGCTGCCGGTGATTTGCAAGCACAATGGGGGAAGGTTTAAGGATCAAAGTGGTGTTCGAGGATGGGGACATCCTTCACGTTTCCCAGAAATCAGAGGGCCTGGAGAGAAGCTGGCTTCTCCTCAACCCCAAGCATCACACAACAATCTCTGAGTTCTCTTCGTATCTCCTCCAAAACTTCCAACTCCACAATTCCTGCCCCAATGGCATCCTTCTTTCAGTACATTACTCTCCCCCCCTCTGCGTGACAAACCAATAGCACACACACCACATGCATATGTGTGCACTAATGTTTGACAGACTGGCTGATGTAGCTCAATCCTGTCACTTTCAGTGATTGATTTATCTGGAATAGTAGGCAATAAGCTTATAGCATGCTTCCATAAATTGAATTGGTGTTGTTATGCCGATTTACTGTGTTTTCATTTTTATTTTTGGCTAGCATGGGCTTCTCATGTTTTAAAATGTCGGTAATTAGTAGAAAGGAACAACTATTAAGCAAAAGAATGGGTTTTTGGAAAGTGCGTTGAGCCTCGCAGCCCTATTAACACCTTTCATAAATTGATATGGTTTGGTTTTGTGAAAAAAGAAACTTAAAACGTATGGATTAGGGAATATCAATATGGTCTTGTTGATTATGAAATTAGATTATAATTGCTTTTCCTCAATTGTATCCAGATGGAGGGATATGTCTTACCACCTTTTGAGTCGACTTGTTTCTTCAATGATAAAGATGTAATCAGGTGAGTTAGATACGAGTGTAATAAACTTCTGTGAACTGTATGGTCCTTCTAAGTTCTAACATGACCTCTGTATTGTGTTAGTGTGAGGAAGAAGGGAGGCTCATTGACTCGTGTAGGTGATGCACCCAGTTATGTGGACAATCTCCAAATTGTTAAAAAAGAAAGTGTAAACTCCAAACCTGTGTGTCTAGGAAATGAGGTATTTGCCATTAAAACCGGGGGATATGAGATGGATGAACCTGAAAAGGAGAGGAGAGACCAGGTGCATGATTACAATTCACCTCCTAGTGATTTGCTGGCGGATGAATTTCCAGTCTCTAAGAAAAGGAAGGCTTCAGAAAAACTTAATAGCTTAAAGTATGCACTCTAAAAGCTCTATTCTCTATGTCAGTATTCCTTTTTCTATTTTCTAAAAATTCATCAAGAAAAAGATTAATCGTGCCTGGACTAGTCAAGCTTTAGATGGATAAATGACTTCATGAATACAGGAAGAAGAGGAAGAAGAAGAAAGAGTACCCTCAAGTTGCAGAGGGGTGCAACATTGATATTCAGCCAGAGCCGACTAAGAAATCTAAACGCAGTCTGACCGACAAGAAAAGTAGTAAAAAGCAAATGAAAAAATCAGAATCACACAAGATGAATGGGACTGAAAGTAATGGAGGTACTGCCAAAATAAGTGAAAGAAATGTCACTAAGCTTGACATGACTAAGTATGTGTTCTCACTCACATGCCTAAATCTTCTTTGGTTTTATGTGTTTGGTCCTTATGACTTTTTCCCATCAGCTGTTTATATTTTTATTTATACATTGAAGCTACATGTTTTGAAATGTTTTCCCAATTTGATTCTTGCATTAATTTTAAATCCCATAGGCACCTCCCATGTGGAGCTCGTATCTTGATGTTATCCTCCCAACAATGCCCCCCTCCTATGCTGTTTATATTTTTTAAATTACCTTCTGATATCCAAGTATATGCTGGAATGCAATAATGGTTTGTTGTTGTTGCGTTGTTAGAAATGATCAGATTCTTAAATCTGGGAAAGATTGTGTGGCTGTTACAGCCAAGCCAGAGGAAATGAAAAAGGTATTTCTAATCAGATCTTTGGATTATATTGAAGCTAATAAAAAATATTGCATTGTCAAATGTCAATGTTATTTTAGATATATTTTGAATTAGACATTGCTCTGAAGCATTTAACTCTGTCTGACTTTGTGTCTAAAGTTCTGTTTGGAATACTATACTTGCAATAGCTCACCACACACTAAATACCATGAAGTGCTGTTTTGGAGATTGTATAACTAAGGGTAACTTGTATAGTTGTATCCAAAATGACTTTCATAGTTCATAAGAATGTTTCAAGTGCATCCTGTTTTCCTTTGGACTATGTTATATTTTGTGCAATCAACGCTTTATCTCGTAGTGATCTCATATCAAACACAATTTAGGTTGTTATATCTGCTTGAGGTTGTGATTTTCCTGTTTTTCTCAGCTCCCTAGCAGGAGTTCGAGGCGACAATACGCAAAGAGGAAATTCAAAAAAGAAATGACTAAAATTCTAAAGGAAAACGAGAATTCTCAATTGGAGGTACTTGTAAGCAACATAATACACAAAGAACCGACTTTACTTTCAAGAAATTGTTGGCAATTTCTATTCCTGATTTCTTGATTATACAGAACACTTCGAAGGAGATTCAATCCAAAAATAGAAAGAGAGAGGGAGTTAGATTCCAACAAGGGCATGTAAGTAATTCAATATGCATAAAAAGTCCTCTTCTTGGAATTGACCTTTGACATATTATAGCCTGGGCCAGTGGCAATCTATAATCGGGTCCTTTGACAACCAGTATCCTGAATTTGCAGCGGAAGTGGAAGAAGGGACGAGCTAATGATCAAAGACATGAGGATGTAAGCCAACAAACGGATGTGTTAGTAAAAGTATAAACATATATGCATAAATCATCTATTTCTGGTCTGGTGATGATTTGGTTTGGGCCCATTGCTTGGTGCAGGCCATTTGAGGTCGGGTTGGGCCCATCGGCCCATCCGTTCAGTTCTTTAACCTGTTTTAGGCCCGTTAGTCTACCCATGAGCCGTTCCCCCCAGTTTAGGCCCTTTTCTATACTGATCAATCGTCCAACCCGGTACTGAGGGGGTGCATTGAGTATCCTGTATTCGTTATCTACTGTGTCTGAGTATTATATGAGTGTGAGGTAAATGGTAAACCTCACCTCTTGAATAGCTTATATCATGAATATGAGTGTGAGGGTTCATTTGGGGTGAGTTAGACCCAATTTAATTGCTTATTTGATGAATATCCAGAAATATTGTAAGCAGAAGCAAAGCCAAGGTGAAATTGAAGAAACCCCTGATCAACCAAAAGGACTTGTGCGCAATAAAATTCTTATAAATCTTAATCCTTAGTCACATTTACTCCCTCCCTGAGTCCCTGTACATGAACACACTTTCACGCTATTTTTGCAGTTATATTGGATGGGGTTGCTTTCCAAGGATATGGCTAAAGATAAAAGCAAGCCTGAACATGCTAATTCCAAAAGCCCTGTCCGTGATGAGCTTCTTCAGAGTAGTGATATTGATCATGAGGTTGTTCCTGTTGAAGTAAGGCCAGAACATATATGCTCTGAGCTTTCAGGGAAAGGTTTTGTACGCTTACGCTCTCATACTGAAATTACACTGCACAGATAGGCATTATCCTCTGTTGCACTCTTACATGTGCAGTTTGTTGTGCTCTGGCTTTTGTGTTTCATAAAGGGATTAAAGGCCTAAAGCTGTCATCTGATAAACTACCAATCTTAGCTTAACTGATAATCTTGAAGTTCAATAGTTGGACACTTCAATTCATATAATTCGGAACTTCTCTCACCTCCACTTATGTTTTATATTTTATGCACATAAATTGTCTTTCCTGTGGTTGGTGAAGTTCTACAAGTCCATTTTGTACTATTCTGCTTTGTCGATCCCCTTAGAAATTACATCTTAAAATAAATTATTGTCTATATTTCTAATGATTTTTTCCGTAGTTTTAGATGCATGCATATTATTATTCCTGCAACATGACCTGATTTGTTTCTGAAATGAATGCATATTAGCGTGCTCTATTATAGAGAATCTAACATGTGAAACTTTTCCGGTTGATGCAGAGCAAACTTTAAAAAAGAATCAAGCTCAAGAAGTAAGATTCTTTGCACGTTTAATCTAACTCTTGAGTAAAATTTTATTATTGCACATTTAGTACTGCATCATGACTGAGTTCTTTTAATACTTTTTTAGAAAAGAATGACCTTGAGCTTATCATTTGCAATTGCTAATTTATAATGTCATGCAAATTTTAACATAATTTTGTTAGCTGATTTTCTAATTTAATTATATACTTGCTACTTCATTTCCATTTTCAGGAGTAGTGAGAATGTCTTATTTTCCACTCTCCTTTTCTTTTATCGTTTATCTTCATTATCTTTTCATATTCTTATATTATTTTTATCTTCTAGCTTTTTTATGCCCTTTTATCTTTTTTTTTTTCTTTTATCTTCCTTATGTTCTTATGGTATTGTTATCTTATATTTATCTTTAGCTTATCTGTTTTATCTTACTTTAATTTTTATTTTATTTTTTCTCTTTTTCTTTTTTTATTCTTGTTTGTCTTCTTTTTTTGGCACTGATATCATGGTTCGATTCATGTTAGCCGACCCCAATATCTTTTGGGATTAAGGCTTGGATGTTGTTGTTGTGTTGTTTTGTGAATCTCAGAAACTAAGCAGCGAGAAAATTACAACTTCTCAAAGAACTGAAATTAATGAGCCTCATAAAGATCCCTCTGAAATATCAAGCGCTGAAAATTTTGCACCTGGTAATGGATCTATTGACTTTGCTAAACTTCCATCCCTCTCTGATGCGCCAAAGGTTAGTCTGTGTTTTTTTTTTTACTGAATTCAATTTTACTGCCTTTGGTTCATGGTGAATAAAATGCCTTTCTTAAAAAATGCCTTTCTTAAAGATTTTGCTGGAGGCTTATAATGTAATTAATGATGTGTGATCTGCCGCATAGCCTTCTAACACTACATATTAGGATAGAAGTATGTGTGCCAAATGGTATCCTCTTTATTGTAGGAAGGCGATGTGATTGCATACCGTCTACTTGAGGTATCATCCAATTGGACTGCTGAGCTTTCCCCATACCATGTATGTCATCGCAATTGTATACTTTTGTATTTTGGTCACAGGCGATCTGTTTTGACATATTACCTTTTTACTGAAGGTTGGCAAAGTATTATCATTCAATTTTAAATCAAGTAGAGCTTCATTAATGCCTGTTGCTGGATATCCATTCTATTCTACTAAAAATAAGCCTGGTGAAGATGAGTGCACAATGAAATTGGATAGTTCTCTTTATAGAGAGGATGGATCATTGGAGGTAATAGCCCATCCATATTTTAGGGGGAGAACTCTTATTTTCGTGTAGCAACTGCTATAATAACACTGTTATGCAGATAGATTTGTCATCCCTCGTTGATGTCCGGGCTGTAAAACCTCCTACCTTGCTTCTCCCTTTAAAAGTAGATTCAATTGGTAACACCAATGACAAGTCAAGACCTTCTGGTCAAGGTAACTAGCTTCTTCTTCTTTTCAAATCAAAGTGAAATACATATGAGGAGGATAATTTAATGCTAGCTGCACATTGTCGTTATATTCTGCACTGAAATTATTATTTATTGTGTTTTACAGAAAATAGGGACATAGTAAATCATGAAAGCAATATGTGTGGTGGTGGCAGCAGCCGAGGTATTGATTCAAGTCATTATGTTTTTCTTGGTCATTCGTTGCCTATGATGAAGATGGTGTTATACTGTCATTCATATTTCATATATAATAATAAAACCTAGTCTGTGTGGCAAATACTAGGAAAGCTGGAAAAGGAAAGAAAATGTTTAAAAAGGAAATCCACTTTCTTATCTTTAGGTTTATAATTATTTGTGTAAGATTAAAAATTTATGCATTTAGATTTGTATTATATGATAAAAATAAATAAATAAAAATGAGCGCAAACAAGCATTTAAAATAAATACTACGTATATTATATTTGAAACAAAATTTTATTTTCCTTAAGATTTTCTTTCCATCAAATATCTCCTATATTTTCATATCCATTTGGGTTTTTTACAAGAGTATTACTAGAATAAAACTTAATTACATGAATATGACTATTCATTACTACAACGTAGTGTTGTGGTAACTTACGTTCAAAATTTGAACATGAATTACTATGATTTCTTTACTACTCTAGTAACTAGTCATATTTTTGTAAATCATCTTTATTTTGGTCATATTTATGTAATTATTTCTATCCATTTTGTTTCCAAACAAACTCCTAATAATGTGGTACTCTGGTATATTTCCATCTGTAGAAAGTAGAGAGGACTTGTGGGAGCAACTCAGCGTGGCTTTATCTGCAAAGAAAGAACAGCTTTCCCAGCAAAGTAGCTGTTGGGGCAAGGTTATTCCAAGCAAGAGTAGTTGGTCATACGAAGCTTGTGGGTTACAGCCTCGAAAGGGCTTCTCCAGATGGAAAAAACAAGAGATGATCAGATGAGTAAGGGAGCACCATGTGAGACCTGTATGATGGAAATGGTGATGAGGATGAATCATTTTCATATTATATATTTGGTACATCTTTTATCTATTTCAGTCTAAAGACATGAAGCGAATTTGCTTGCCTGACTCGTGAAACAGATAACATAACCTAAGCATCGGCTGGGTTAGACCCAATATTTTCACCTGTAAATTGCCCATTCACATTCTATGCAGTAAGATAACTTGTCTCAGAAAATGAATTCAATCTTGTCCACACCCAACTTTATGAAATTTTAAGTGGTTCCATACATCCATGCAAAGATAAATAATGAGTAACACATTTAGCATTAATAATCTTAGAACAAGCACATGCATCACAAGTGTTTATCACTATAGTTCCGTCTTTGGTTGATGTGCTATCAAATTTTTCGTTGCATTGCTTAGGCATTCCGCGTTTGTTTGAACCGCACAAATTTCAAGTTTCAACTAGCACAACATATCCTGATAAGAGATTATTAACATTTCTTGTTGAGCCATATAATTTTCCTCATGTGTGTCATTACTTTAGAATACAGTAGTTACATCCATTTGATGTACTATAAGATAATGAATGGTGTCCAAGGCCATTAACGTTTCTATTGGTTGCTATTTTGTTCTGATATGAATAAATATCAAAACCAATACTCGTCTTTTAAATAAACTTTCATTTCATAGCCTCACTTCTTATCTTATTATTAAATAAAAGAGATCCATTTAGAACTATTTGGATTCCTACCTTAGGACATTCACAATGGTAATCAAGTTTCATTTTTTGGAACATAACTTGATATTTGCCTAGTATGAGGTGCTCTTTATGTTCTTAATTTTGACACTCGTTCTAGAACTTTGTTCATACCACCCATTAAAGTAAAATAAATGAAACTAAAAAACTATAAGGCGAAACACATTGCGTAATTTGAACATCATAATTGTGAAATAAAGTATAAATAATGTGACAAGTATGAAATAAGAACTTGACACCATTAATGTGGATGATCTGAGGTAAATTGATGAAGTTCCATGCTTCCATGTACGGTTCATCCTTGTAGTGTTGAATTCCCTTTGAACAGTTTCCTTCCATGCATGTATGGACCTCATAACCTCTAGATAACCTTTTGGGTGTTCAATTAGGTACATAAATGCGAATGACGTCACAAAGATCATATTTATATAACTTTTTAACATTTGCATTATTTGTGAAGTGTGAGGGTGTTCCAATTTGTCACAAAAACTTGTATATGTGTGTCCTGTTATTGTAAGAAAAAGAAAAGCATCATATCCGCATGATGTTCCAAGCACGCACGCATATTGTAGATAGTAGATATCCAGGTACTGCTACCTCCACACCATGAAATGATGCTCCATCCTTCACCAATGAAAAAAGGTATGAAGAGGCATGGACTGCAATATGGGCAACATTTAGATGTTTCCCAGCCATGCCTATAAATGGGAATGCTACTGGTTGCTGAAAACCATCATAAAGAGAGCAACAATACACTTATTGTGACAGAAAGTTTGAGGGTTGATTTTTGTAGTCGAGTGACATTGATCCTTCTTTAATTTGTTCTTGTTATATGAATAAAAGACTTTCAATCTTAACATGTCACATACATAATACTAACTCTGTCCCAAAAAATAGTTACAAAACTTTTTGGGCACATCAATTAGGAGTGTATGATAAAAAATATAGTGTTTTTTTTACATTTGCTGTAACGGTGAAAAAGTGACTTGAAATGGTGAAAATTGATTTATAATATATTTTATTAAATTAGTGGAATCAATTCGATAAATTGATAAATTGTTGGCTGAAACAACTGAATTATGAAAAAAAAATTAAATTTATAATATATTTTATTAATAGATTAAAGAAAGAATTATACGAAAAATAGTTAAAATGGTCTCTTATAACAATTTCATCCAATTGAACCCGAAAAATAACTTCACCTTTACTTATTTTAAGTATTTAACAATTCTTTTACCAAAAAAAGTATTAAACAATTAACTTCACCTTTACTTATTTTAAGTATTAAACAATTCTTTTACCAAAAAAAGTATTAAACAATTCAGTGTACAAAAATCAAAAGTTATATGTTTTGATAAGTTAGAAATATAGTAATTGCTCTAAGAGCTCGTTTTGTGACCTTGTTTTTCGGCTTATCGGGCCGATTTTGTAATAAAATATACTAAACTTTTTCACCAAACTGGTAACTTTAGATTTCACGCGTTGAATTGTGTAATAATAAGAAAAGGTAAGATTAAAGTTACTTTTCTGCCTGTATTGGCTGAAGCCTATATTGCACGGATACGTCGATACGACAACTTCAAAAATTATAGGATACGGGTATGGGGGTATATTTATAAATAATACTCCATCCGTCCCATTTTACCTGTCTTACTTTCCTTTTTGGGTTGTCCCAAAATAAGTGTCACCTTTTCCTTTTTGAAAAGAAATATGTAGTTCACAACATTTCACTTTACTATACTCAAATTCCAACCATAACTTTTACCTTTTCAACCACTTTATTAAAAATTGTGCCAAAACCAAAGGAGACACATAAAATGGGACGTAGGTAGTAATAATATAGGGTGTATTTTGCAAATATATATAATTCAGAAGTTCATAAGTAAAATAATAACAGTACCAAAATTAACAATTATAATAAAATTTCAAAGATTAGACTAAAAGAGCTAAAGTACTAATATTTCGATGTAAATTCAAATAACAAATTTTATTCTCTATTTGCACTTACATCTAAGTCTTTTAACAAGATTGATTTCAATTAATGCTCATCAAACAACAAATTGGCAAATTATAGCATTCCAATGTTTTCTATACTCCCGAAATCATCTTTACTAATGTTTGGCATCTTGTGATTGCTTGAGCGGCTATTAAATTTTTGTCATGTCATGTATGAAACAGGGTTACAGGGTTAGATACGTGTATCGATTCACAGATACGGGTGTTGGAAGTATCCATATTTTTAAAAATAAGTCTCATACTTTTAATAATTTACGGATACGGACTCAATATGTACATAATGCGTATCGGTGAGTATCGGTATCGTATACGCGGATACGACATCAGGGTGAAGTATCCGTGCATCACAGGCTGAAACTACTGTAGAGAATCATTTTTACTAATTTTTCATATAATCTTATCTTTATTTTATTAGTAAAAAATATTTTTAAATATAATTTTTAAATAAATCAGCAGAATTAGCCAACACAATCACTTCAGTCAGAATTTCATAAGTTTCAACAAAATCAGCCGATTTAGCCAATTTCGGTGTTATTAACAGGCTCTTGAATAAGACTAAAAGTTAACCAAAATGCACTAATAGGAACTATATACTCCATCCGTCCCGAAAAGGTTTGCCAAATTTTCTTTTTTTGGATGTCGTAAAAAGATTTGTCATTTCCATTTAAAGTAAGAAATATGTGGCTAAAATTAATTCTCTTTCCTCTGCACAAATTTCAACCACACAATTTTTACTTTATGAATCCATGTGAAAGTCAAAGTTGGCGAACCTTTTCGGGACGAAGGGAGTATGTTTTTAATTCTCTAAATAAAAATAAGTTATCCTATTAAATTATAAAATTCCGTTAATTAGGAATGAACGAATCTTATTTTGGGAAGAAATCTGCACACTTTGTCTTTATTTAACTCTTATTTAAGAAATTCTCTCTTAAAAATAAGGGTTATTATAGAAGCTCAAAATATGATTGTAGTGTTAATGACTCAAGACGTTTAAAAATGAAATACTACGAGTCCACGAAATTGTAAAAAAGGTCAAAAGTCAAGTATGAGCATGAGTGGGAATTATAAATTATTGACATTTTTTAGTTTTTAATAAAACATTTTATTTTTTAAAACAAAAAAATAAGCAACATGTCTGAAATGAGATTGCAATGAAATGAAGGGTAGGTGATATTTTTTTAATCAAAATGAAAATTAGTTTATTTTTTCAAAATTAGGGTATGCTCGTTTTTTGACCAAAGCGTAGACGCGATGAGTCTTGCTTGACGTACGCATATCACCGTTTACCGAAAACGTCACTTATTTTGAAATGCATGCACATAAAAATGAGGTGGAGAATTGGACAGATGGGTCAAAATAAACTTGTGACAATTGTGGCCTTTTGGGGTGAAATAGAAAACAAAACTTGGGTTTCTATTTCTGGTCTTCCGACAATGCGTATTGCTTGCAGCTGTAGATGGAACTTTCCAAGGTAGCCTTGTCCTAAACAAACAAGTGAAGTTTTTCAACAAATCTCACGCAATGACTTTTGCCTCTCATGATTCTGCAATCTGCATTGCTCTTTATTTCCTCTTAGCTCTGCATCTCTCTTTCTGCTAAATCACTTCCCAAATTAGCACCCCCATAAATAAAGAAAATAAAACCATCCATGAAGTTTATGAAACTTGGTTCTGGCCATGATGCCTCTTTCTGCATCATTGGTGCTGCTAGGTAATCCTTTATCATTCATTCAGTCCTCTTATCTGTATTCACAACAAAGTAAGATTCCTTATGTATGAATTTCTTTTATTTACTTGAAATGCAGAACTTTGCTCCCTGAAGTTTCAAGTGATCTTACAGTAGAAGTGAATGAAACCATATATTTACTTCACAAGGTAGCAATAGTTTAATTGCATCATAATATTGAATACACAAAATGAGTTTACAGGATAGAATCTGGTGTTAGAACTGATTTTTTTTGCTGCATAGTATGCTCCATACCTGATCATTTTTCTTTTGAATGAACTTTTTTTTTTGTGAAACAGTTTCCACTCTTCTCCAAGTGCTTGAGGCTGCACAAACAAGCACGTTCAGATTGGGCAGAAACCTCCGGGCAGGCCAGGCAGCCCCCGACAGTTGAGCTCCCGGATTTTCCAGGCGGACTCGAGGCATTTGAGCTATGCACAAAATTCTGCTATGGCTACACCATAACTCTCAGCGCCCACAACATTGTTTCCGTCCGATGCGCTGCAGAGTATCTCCAAATGACAGAGGAGATCGAGAGAGGGAATTTGATAAGCAAACTTGACACCTTTTTGAATTCATGCATTTTCCATGGCTGGAAAGACACAATTGTGACATTGCAGAGCACCACCAAGGAGGGAGGGTTGCAAGCATTGTCAGAGGATCTCAGGATCACCTCTCGGTGCATCGACGCCATGGCCTCAAAAGTCAGGGCGGCAAATCCTGGAAAGGCGAACCTCTCCCGGAGCTACTCCATTAGAGGAGGCAGTAACGGGCCAGAGAGCGGACAAAGGCAA